AAAAAAAAAAAAAAAAAAAAAAAAGATGTTAAAAAGAAAAATGTGTGGAAATTCCGACATGTTATCATTTACTTCTGAGGCTAACGATTACTATGGGGATAATCATTTCATACCAAGAAAATCACCATCTTACCTTCAGCAATAAATAATGGATTGTGTACATAGGGGTGACCCTCAGTTTGCCTGGTCTGCAAAGGACTGAGAGGTTCCCTGGAAATGGGACTTTTGGTGGTAAAAGTCCCAACTAACTGGGACAAGCTGGTCACCCCTTGTGTGCACCATGAGAATGTGTAGAGAGAAGTGAAATATGATCCTTTTCCTTAAAAACATTACAATAATGGCAGAAGCATTTTTAATCTTTTTTTTTATATTGTTCTTTTTACTTTCCTTTTTTTTTTTGGCCATACCGTGCAGTATGTGGGATCTTAGTTCCCCGAGCAGGGATCATACCCATGCCCCTTGCAGTGGAAGCACGGAGTCCTAACCACTGGACCGCCAGGGAATTCTCGGTATTTTTAACCTTAATGTATATGACTTTCTCTCTCATCATGCAAAGGCATCCATCTGCCTTCGCAAGGAAGTAGAGGGATGTGTGTGATTAGGACTCGTACAGCAGAAGTGCAAAGAAAGGGAAAGCACATTTGGTATTCAGTTTTTGAATACTAAAATAGAACTTCCAAGACAATATTTTAAAAGTCATACTTTATAAAGACATAGTATATATTCCTTAAGCGCCAATGAACATATCAAGAACCAGACCTGGCTGACGTGAACACTGGGTTTTTTTCTAAGCAAGACACAGAGAGTACTCAGGATGTGACATGATGGATGTCCCACCTGACAGACGGGGAAGTTGGTCATCTTTCTGACCCAGTGGAGAAAGGAAACTGAAGCAGGGGAGCAAGCAATCAGAAACATAAGCAATGGACACTCAGGTTGTTTCCATGTCCTGGCTATTGTAAATAGTGCTATAATGAACTCTGGGGTACACGTGTCCTTTTGAGTTACGGTTTTCTCAGGGTATATGCCCAGAGGTGGGATTGCTGGGTCATATGGTAATTCTATTTCTAGTTTTTTAAAGAACCTTCATACTGTTCTCCACAGTGGCTGTGGAATCTAGAAAAATGGTACAGATGAACCTACTTCCAGGGCAGGAATAGAGACGCAGACGCAGAGAACGGACATGTGGACACAGGGGGAAGGGGAGGGTGGGACGAACTGGGAGATCAGGACTGACATATATACACAACCATGTGTAAAACAGACAGCTAGTGGGAACCTGCTATAAAGCACAGGAAGCTCGGCTTGGTGCTCTGTGATGACCTAGATGGGTGGGAGGGGGGGGGGGGGGGGAGGGAAGTCCAAGAGGGAGGGGATATATGTATACGTACAGCTGATTCACTTCACTGTACAGCAGAAACCGAAACAACATCGTAAAGCAATTATATTCCAATTAAAAATAAATAAATGATTTTTTCAAAAGAAAGAAACATATGCAACAGACTCCACATCTAGAATTTCAAAATGGAGGACTCAATAGTTTGAAGGCTTTGCCAGACACCCCTGGTGTCCCAGCCAGCCCCGCAAAGTGGAGCAACCGCATCGATTAGATTGGTGATTCAGCACAGTTACGCAGAGAAAAAGCCAAAATTGGGATTCCTGAGCTTCCCCCAGCCCGGCCCCACCCTCAGTATGGAATGGACACAGGCGTCTCCGCATTCTTGGCAGGGACATTGGAAGGTAACTGCACTGCCGGCCCCAGGTGAGCTCACAAAGTCAAGAGGTAAAGTGGCAGAGCCATACGGGCCATGGGGGAGGGCAGCCACACTGGGGGCAGGAAAGAGGGCATGCAGCATGAGAGACAGAGAAAGACAGAAATCCCAGATTCAACCCCTGTACCTCAAGGTCACCAGTGCACGTGACTGGAAACCATTCCAAAACATTCAGAGAGAACCAAAGGCAAGCTCTGCCCACAGAGCCAAGATCTCCTTTCCCATGGCCACAAAGACACAGGAGTCCCTGTTCCCTACCGGGCGCCGTCTTTGGGAGGGAAGGGGTTGAACACTGAATAACTGAGCATTTACCAAAATGCACAGCTTGGAAATGAAAGAGATTGTTTTAATCAGAGGAGACTTAGATACAGTTTACTGGCAAATAAAATTCTTTCTACCCCAACTCACCCTCTCCTCTCTCTCCCAACCTTCTATCCTGTGTAGTAGGGGCTCATGAAGATTTCATCAATGATCGGAAACAAGGAAGCTCCTTTTCTTACACATGTAAGAGATGGTGTGAAATTTTTTCTGACCTCACCTCACAATGTATAGGTCGAAAAAGGATCACAAAGGGAATATGAGCAAATCGCAAAGGAGGAATTATTTAAAGACAGATTATTTCATTATCTGTTGGGTGTGCCTTGAAAATAAAGGTGCAGGACAGGGATGTTTTAAGTTGAGGAAGATTCCTGAAGACCTAATCTTATCACTTCAGAGGTTAGGTTGTGCCGCAGTGACAAACAACCCCAAAATTTCAGAACCACAGACGTTTATTTCTTGCTCTTGCCACTTGACTGTTGTGGGTTGGTGGGTCTGTGTTCACCATACTGCTTCAGGGACCCAGGATTATGGAACAGCCACCATCTGGAACTTTGACAGTCACCGCAAAGACAAAAAAAGCTCAAAGGGGTCTCAAGCTTGCAATTTAATGCTTCAGCCCCAAGTGCTAGCATCCACTTGTCCTCGCAACTTATTGGCTGGTGCTAACCCCATGGCTCCATCCAAACCCAAGGGGGCCAGGAAGCTTAACACTACAACATGCCTGGAAATGTCTGGCAAACCACAAGTAAGGTGCGACTTTGTTATTTCCTTACATGATGCTCTTTCAACCTCACATGATTCAAAGTCAAATTGGCCGTGTGTATAAGCCTATTAATTGGCTAAAGTTTAATCAGCACACAATAGTCTTCCTCTGTCATTCTGTCTCTGCTTCCAATAGAATGAGTTTATCCTCCAGGAAGCTCCTCGGGCAGTACCCACCCCCTCCCACCCCTGTCAGTCTGATCTGCCCAAACATGTCAGAATTCCCCCCAGTGGGCACTGCTTAGGCTCAAACTAGGATTCCCTTTAACTTAGTTCTTAGTAATTTTTATTGTTCCACTTGACAATAGTAATACAAATATATGCTTATACAAATATATGCTTTTTTTTTAAAGTACTATATAAATTGCATCATGCCCAGACAGGAAAAAGCCACATAAAAACAACATTCCAGAAGATGCTTCTATGATTTTCCACAGCTGAACACAGGAATCTTGACTGAAAATTTCAGAGGTCTATCCAGTCTGTAACTTGGAGGGTATCTGTAACTTAAGATGTTATTATTAACCCAGATAGTAGTTGGGTGCTCAGAGATTTATGTAAAATGAATTCAAATCCCCTCTCTAAGGTCTGTGGGGGCCCAGAGCCCTTTTTGTTATTTCTCTGCCTTTCCAGAACTTTCTCTCTTGAGCCCCTCTAGTCAGTGCCTATATCTGCATTTGCTGTCACTGTATCAACCCATGTCACTCAGATTCAAGCCCTTGTCCGGTCTCCATAAGATACCTACTCCCAGCAGACACTTGTGAGTTTATTTAAATTATGTTTAATATCATTAACTTTTTAAAATTAATTTTTATTGAAGTATAGTTGATTTACAATGTTGTGTTCGTTTCTGCTATGCAGCAAAATGAATCCGTTATACATATACGTATATCCACTCTTTTTTAGATTCTATTCCCATATAGGTCATTACAGAGTATTAAGTAGAGTTAAATATCATTAACTTTTAAATGAATTTGATATTAACTTCAATAATAAATAAAGATTATTTAAACCCACGAATATGTGTGAGTCACAGGATAAGACAGGACCAGAATACACCACTGTTGTTAGTCTTCCTGGGCTGCCATAGCAAAATGCCACAGACTGGATGCCTCAAACAACAGAAATGCATTACTCACAGTTTTGTTGGCTGGTTAAGTCCAAGGTCAGGGTGCCAGCATGGTCAGTTTCTGGTGAGAGCTCTCTTCCTGGCTTGCAGGCGACCACCACCTCCTTGCTGTGTCCTCATATGGCCTTTCCTGTGTGCACACATCAGGGGAAAACATGAGTTAATACAGACAACCCACTTTCCCTAAAGCCCTGGTTATCATCCCACTTTGCCACAAGGTGGCAGTATTGGAGACCACTGGTGCTTCCTTTCGGCCCTTAAAGCAATAGTGGGAAAACAATGCAACATTAAAACACAGCTAGTACGTGATAACCAGCTTCCAGAGCTCAAACATAATAAATATTTTCTCATAAAGCAGAACCTGCTAGGAGTATTTGATGTGCTTTATAGCGGGGTATTACACGATAAAGCGACTGAGCCACTTGCTAGTTCCAGAGCAGCGCTCTTGAGAAGGAGGGAAGAAACGATTTGATTTATGTAGAAAAGGAGAAGCAATGGTAGGAGTAAAGAAGAAACTGTGCGGGATGTAAACATTAAGATAAAAGATTCGACATTAAAATTGTGGCCAGTAAAAAGGAATGAGAGTCAGAAATCTAGTCCCGTTAGACATAGAGAATAGACTGGTGGTTGCCAGTGGGGAGGGGGGTGGGAGAGGGTTGGATTGGGAGTTTGGGATGAGCAGATGTATTATATTCAATATCTTGTGATAAACCATAATGAAAAGAACATGAAAAAGAACTTATATGTACGTATAACTGAGTCACTTGGCCGTACAGCAGTAATTAACACAACATGGTAATTCAACTGTACTTCAATTTTAAAAAAAACTTTATTTAAGGACATCTAATCCCATTACGTCTGGGAATCAACCTGTACTGAAGCCCAGCATAAAAATACCTCTTTAGTGTATGGAGTCAGATACACGGCAGATTGTTCATTTGTGAATTACGCCAACAAGTATTTACTGAGTATCTTCCGTGCACCAGGCGCAGGGTAAGGTAAAAAGAACAGCAGGATTGTCCACAGCACGGCGGAAGCATCCAGGGAGGACCAGGAAGGCTTCTCCAGGGAGGGGACATTTTAGTTGAACCCAGGGAAGTTGGCCTGTCCTGATGAGTGGAAGGTGGCAGGTCACAGGAAAGGGGCCTTGGAGAGGCGTGAGAGAGGCAGGAAAATAATCCAGATGGGAAGAGCAAATGCCCAGGGGTGTGAATACTGCGTTGGAATAACAACATCCTGTTCAGAAGACAGGAGAGAAGCTGACAGGGAAAGTGGCCAGAAAACCAAGCAGAGCTGCATTTGCCGAGAGAGCCTGAACGCTGCCGGCGATAGAAATCACCAGGGCCTTTCAGACCCAGCTGGTACTCTTCAGAGAGGTTCCTCTAAACACTCCTGAGGATTGACTGGGGTAGACGGAGAGCTGGAGAGGCCAGTCAGTGGGTGTTTGTCCTGGCCCAAGTGGCCCACAGTGACCTTGACAGTGAGGACGGAAAGCAGGTACAGATTCACGGATATTCAGGAGGCCAGTAGAATGCAAAAGACAGCAGATGCCAGAGAAGTTCTGTTCTCTGGCTTGGGAAGAAGAAGGCAGAGGTTGTGGTTTATTACAGGGAAAGAGTCCAGAGGAGCTCCAGGCATGACATCTCAGTGTCCTCTCCCTGTGGACTCCTGCAAACAGCACTGACTTTCCCAGCAATGATGCGGCAACACTCACGGAGTATTTGGAACCAGGGGAGCTCCCCTGAGGAGCTTGAAGGCTCGTCACCTAGACATGGTTGACAGCCCATGTCGCTGACCTTAGTCTCCTTCTCTTGGCCGATTCTGACCGGTATCCTTTCACTGTAATAAACCACAACCGTGAGCATACCAGCTTTTTTGAGTTCTGTGAGGCCTTCTAGCAAATCACTGGACCTTGGGGTGGTCTTGGGACCTCCCCACTGCACAGGTAGAGAACACAACACTAGTCACAAACTGGAGACCCAGGCAGAATGAGGATAAGCATGAAAGTGACCCGGCACTGTACCAAGAGCTTAACAGGCGTTATCTTTGATAATCCTCAAAATAATCCATCAAATAGGAATCATTACCTCCATGTTATAGATGATACTGAGCCCATATGTGTCCTAATGGATAAATCAAGCACCCTGCAGTTAGGAGCCTAACCAGATCTGACTTCAAACAGATGTCCCCAACATTAGGCATATAATGAAGTAGAAGGGTAAATATTTTAAAAATAATTATTTAAAAAATAATATTTTAATAAGATTTTGTTTTGTTTTGTTTTCTGGTCCCAAACTTCCTTGTACCTTGTGGTTCTTTCCCTGCATTTAAGCAGCAGGTAAACATTCAGTGTTTAGGGGCTCAGGGAAGAGATGACCAAGGAGAATACAGACAGAACAAAAGAAGCAATTTTGAGTGTTCAGGTTTTAAAGCCCAAACCCCAACAAAAGCACCAGAAGAATTCGTGGTAAGGACAGATTATGCTTTGGTTTCACTGACGCCTCATGAAGCTCGCCTGGGCTGGGGTAAGGACAGAGTTTGGGTGCAGGGACCTTGGGTCCTGCCACCACCCCTGCCAAGCTCGGGGCGGGGGGGGGGTGTGATTAAGCCCCCAGGAGTTTAGAGAACCCAAGAGCAGGTGGCGCCTGGGGAGCCCAAGCTGGGATGGTGTGGGAGCAGAAGAAACGTCTGCATATGCCCGTGAGGCAGAGCACCGAGTCCCCTAAGCCTCGGTGGGGCAGCTCTCTGCTGTAGCCGTTCCCATTTCACAGAGAGCCAGGGGGCAAAAGGAGACTCACAGTCAGGGAGGAGAGCGGTGGAGCAAGAACCGAAGGCCAGACAGGAACGTCACGTGCAGGGATGACAGTGCTGAGTTCCACTGATTCCTCCACGCGGTTCCCTGGAAGTCAGCAACCCTCCCAGAGCCTCGATGCATCACCCAAGATGCCCAAATGGACTGAGATGACATTTCCAACGCCTGAACCTAACAGAGGCTTGAAATCCTAACCAGATTCCGTTGTAGAGAAGCAAAGAAAGCTACGTTTCTGGCCCACCTGAAGTTTGAACCTAGATTCTTGCCTGCCGCCTCAGGGTCTCCATGCTTGAGGAGTGGGTGGTCTGCCCTGAGGTTTCAGCACAAACCGGTGATAAGCACTGCACGACGTGAAACCCTTTCTCGGCTGCTCTGTGAAAGCAGATGGTTTCTTTGTGGGTGATACCCCATTGGTAACACTCTATTTAGTCTGCCAGGTCCCGGAGAGCATTCCTTTCTGCTTCCTCAGAACAGGTTCGTGGTGACTTCTCTGGTGGGACACCTAGGAGAACGCCTGCCCAGCCCCGTCCGTGATGGCAGCGTTCAAAGTTAGGACGGCTGGGGCTTCCCTGGTGGTGCAGTGGTTGAGAGTCCGCCTGCCGATGCAGGGGACAGGGGTTCGTGCCCCGATCCGGGAAGATCCCACATGCCGCGGAGCGGCTGGGCACGTGAGCCATGTCCACTGAGCCTGCGCGTCCGGAGCCTGTGCTCCGCAACGGGAGAGGCCACAACAGTGAGAGGCCCGCGCCCCAAAAAAAAAAAAAAAAAAAAAAAAAAAAAGTTAGGACGGCTGAAGAGGGCTTCCCTGTCGAGGACTCCGGGGGTTTCAGAAGAGCCCTGGACCGGGGGTCAGGAGGCCTGGGGCTCCCATCCGAGCTCTGCCATAATCAGCCGTGACCTTGGGCAAGCAAGTCAATCTCTCTTCGCCTCAGCGTCCTGTCTTAGAATAGAGGCAGTAATTTCTTCACTGCTTAGTCACAGAAGTGAAGTGAGGGGGCAATGAGGTCAGGAACTGAAACACTGGTCTAAGGACCAGAGAGCAGCTTGACGTGGTCCCGTCGTCCTTGCCCATCTTTCTTCTCAACTTCTTCTATCAGAGGTGTCAGGGCTGCATCTTCCTTTTTGGAATATGCCATAACCTCAGCTGTGGGAGAATGTAACAAGACACAGTCCCTGCCCTAAAGGAGCCCTCCACCTTACAACTCCCCTGCTAGACTCACAGCCAGTTCCAAACTCTTCCAGGGTCTACACCGTGTGCCACAGAGCCTGACCCTGTGTCTCTCTCCAACCTCATCCCCTGGGATGTCACTTTGCTCATTCAGCTCCCATACAGTGGCGTCCACACCCCCCGCAAACATTCACGTCTGTTCCAGCCTCATTCCTGCTGTTCCCTCTGCCCCAAACGATCTTCCCTCAGATCTCCCCACACTCCCTCACTCACTTTCTTTGGGTCTCTGAGCAACATCGGTGCCCAAAGTTTCCCCCGTTCCCTTCCCTCGGTTGGCAAACAACAGCGCATCTTCCAGCTCTCAGATTGAACGCTGATCATATCCTGTCTCCCCTCTGCCCCAGCACACACACTCCATCCCACATCCCGTATTGGAAACCCAGCCTTCCCAACTGAACCCCTTCAGGCAGCAGAAGGACTTTGAATTTTAGGAAACAACGTTCAGCTCTTCTCTCCACCCCACTGTCCGCCAAGTCTCTCTTTACCTTAGTCCTCCCTCTAATTGTTCCCAGCTCACAGCTTTCCCTGGGGACTTAAATACATTTAAGGGGAAGGTTTAAAAGAGCAACAGCAGCTAGTAGGCTGCCAGGTGACTCAGAAAAGACCTGGGCATCCCTAGTTCCCCTCCCAGCCCTATAACCAGCTCTGTAAATCACATTCATTCACTGGGCTACCCACCTCTCACTCACAGAAACAAAGGGCTTCAACTGTAAGGTCCCTAAAGACTCCTCCAGTTCTGTCAATTCCTTTACAATCTGAACACAGCCAACCACCCGGCTTCTTCAGATACAATATTCCCTTGCCCCTCCACGCCACTCAGGATTCATCAAATCTGAAGTCACTTGTACTTTTTATACAATCAAGACCTAGAAAAGAAGATGGACAAGTTATTGAGGAGGGGAAACACTGCCCTAATTTACTCAATCATGTCTGCCTGATACTACTTTTCCAACCTTGTGACCAAAGGCTGTTTCTCTAGACCAGCAATTTTCTTCGCCTCCAGGTTCAATGAAAGAAAAGAATTTTCCTTAGGCTAACTAAATTATGGAAGGATTTGGATTCCAGGCAGATCTTCTGCACACACATGGCTCCATTTGAAAGACTTGCCTATTGTTTTTGGAAGCCCTAAGAAAACGAAGCATATGTTCAACTTTTTTTTAATAGTCTCGTGAAAATGAGTCAGTTTATAGTGTGTTTTGAATGGAGTTCTACATTCCTGTGGGCTTATAGGAATTGAAATTGGTTAAAACCTACCTCCAGAGGAGCTGAGTAACTCAAACAACTCTGACGCTGATTTCTAAAAGCCACAACCAGAGTCTCGTGGTCCTGCGGTGGTTCGACCCTGACTTACCACGGGGACCTTCCCCCAAACAGCGCTCAACTCTTCACGTGCTCTGTATCAGTTAGTGCTGGAACAGCCGGGAATGGAATAGCTGGGGGTCCTCACACATCGCCCTCTCTGTGTGGTCTACCTGCCCTAATGCACGGCTCCCCAACTCCAGGTCATGGGCTCCCAAGGTGCATGTCCCAAGAGATAGTGCCAGGCAGAAGCTTATATTGCCTTTTAGGACCCAGCCTCGGACGCCGCGCGGAGGCAGTTCTGCCACGATCTTACGAATGAAAAACGTTGCCTGCCCTGTCAGCAAACAAAGGATGCTGCAGCCATCAAGCCATCAGCCACCGTAGGCACCACTGACAGTGAACGGGAGAAACTCAGAATGCAAACAAAAGGGCTGCCCACTGCCAAGCATCAGCCACGCAGCCACCCCTAGCGGTGCACCCAGAGGGGACTCGGGATGGGAAAGAATAGGATACTGACCCTAGAGAGCTGAGGTGCACATCAAAGGAATGATTTCAATGAGTCCAGACTCTTGCATCTTCCCATACATAGAAAAGCGCTAAATTCATTAACTTGAGATTTCTAGGGTTTTTTAATTAACAGTAATCTTTTGCTGTTCCAACTACCTGGTTTTTGTTGCAATACTCCTATATATCCTGGCTCCCCCCTTTACCCCGTGGGAACAGTCCCTTAGAGCTATCTGAGAGGCTGCCTCCCGGGCTTAAGTCCTCGGAAAGTCTGCCAAATAAAACATACTTCTCAACTTTTAGGTTGTGCATTTTTTTTCAGTCGACAGTCTGTTGGTCAAGGCAGTCCCAAAGGTCTGGCTAAGTTCAAGGGGAGGAAACATAGACCCCACCTCTCAGTGGAGGAACATCAAATCCACATTGTAGGAAGAGCGTATGGGATTGGATACGTAGTGGTGTCGCCATCTTTGAAAAATTTAACCTGTACCACCCCCCTACCTATCAGGGGGATATCAATGCCCCCAATTACGGATGAAGAGACTGAGCCTGACAAACGTGAAGTGACTTATCCCAGGGCCACACGGTGAGTAAGTGACAAGGCCAGGATTTAGGGGAAAGGGAGCCTGGAGGATGAAAGGTTTGGGGATTAGAGGTGAGAAGCTCCCCAAGCATCCCAGAGTCCCCGCAAAGGTAAAAGGCAGGAGAGGAAATGCCAGGAGGCAGGGGCTTCAGCTAGCATCCCAGCACGAGAATGAGATCCACAGAGACGGGAACTATCCTGGAGCTCACCTTTTTACCCCAGCAGAGTTCAGCACAGTGGGGACAGGCAGGGAAGCTCAGGTATTGGAATTTGCTCCAGCTTGAAGCTGAGGGATCTTGGTCAAGGCTCCTAATCTTTTTGAGCTTCAATGTCCTCATCTGTTAAGTGGTAAGCATAATTCCCTCCTAATAAGGCTTACGGGGGTTTCAAGATGCATGTGTGTGAAGTTCTTGATCTATAGTAGGAAATCAGTTAAAGGTCGCCATCATTATTACACAGACATTTACGTAACTGAAATCAATCAATAGGTTCTGGGAGTTAATGCTTGTGTTAATGTTTGGGCAGCCTCAGGTGAAAGGTGGGCTGGGCCCTCTACTGTTTGGGTTGGTACCGAGAACAGAGCTGAGTATGAGTTGAAATGGTGTGAGGGAGAGAGTGGGCAAGTTTACGAGAGCTGAAACAGGCACCAGTTAAATGGGTGTGGACAGCGGAACCAGACAACTCTATTAAAACTTGGTCGAATTGCTTACTCTTTCAAAGCATTAGTCTCCTCAACTGTAAAAATAAGATAATGGTACTGACCTGATGATATTGGTATAGAAATGAAATAATCAATATAAACACCTAGCAAACTGCCTGACAGATAGCAAACTTTTAATAGGTGTTTGTTCTTTCTCCCTCTTTCCTTGATATCTGAGGAAGAATGGTGTTATACTGGTCATTATATTAACTACTCGTATTCAGTAAATGTGTTGAGTTGGATTTACACCATCCATCCCAATGAATCGGTTTGGGCCACACAGCCTGCATGCCGCATGCATTAACTGAGCACCTACTATATGCCAGGCACCGTGGTGGCTGCCCAATGTACAACAGAGAAACCAAAACACAGCCATTGCCCTTGAGTTGGTTAGTGTGGAACGGAAGACTTAGCAGGAACTTTCCAGTTACAGAAGAGAAACAAGCCTTTCATTTCTTCCTTGTCATCTGCGTTAAAGTCTGGCTCTTACATGGTAAGTCTGTGATCTCCATGCATGTGATGGCAGGTGGTAGAGAAGGCACTGGTCATCCAGATCAGACCTCAGGATGGTTGTGGGCAACATCTTGTTGTGCTTCCCTGGCCTCCCCATCAACCCTCTGGGTTTCCAGGACACCTGGTAGCAGGACCAGCTGAAGGAGAATGGAAAAGTGCATTGAGACCTGCCTCCTCACCCTGCTTTCCCCAACTTTTCTGCAGTGTCCCTCTCTCTGCCACCTTCTACTTAATGGCACAAACACCCTTGCATTTTCACTTCTACTTTACACCAAAAACCATCTCTCCACAAGAGACATGTTCACAATTTTACACATAAACTTCTGTAACTGGCATGACAACTCTGCAGGTTAGATTTCATTATCTCTTCTTTCCATGAGGCTCAGAGAGGTTAGGTGTCTTAAGGGGTCAAGCCAGCAAGTGGTGGAGCTGGATTTGGATGCAGGGCTGCCCAGTTTCAAGTCCAGCTTGGTATTAGTTCATTTCTGTTCATCTAGCATTTAACGCACACCTGCCTCGTGCCAAGCACCAGGCAAACAGTGATGAGCAACACATTTTCGCTGCTCCCCAGGGCTCACAGACTAGCAGGGAAGACGAGCACACCAGGAGGAATTTTAAATTTAGGATAAATGAGATAATGCACATAAAATTCTTGTCGTGGTACCTGGAACATAGAAAGCTCTCGATCAACATCCGCTGTTGTTACTATGAATATATGTGCAAGGGAATGTGAAGGGAAGGATGCCACGTAGCACAGACTAGGATAGGCAGCACAATCTTGGGTGCAGCATTGCTCTTCCTGGGTTATTTGTACTTTAACGCATTCTGCATTCAGTTTAGAGCATCATTTTGGAGAGACTCAGGGGAAGACTGGGACAGCCCCAGGTAGAATGCCTAGGAGTGATAAAACTTGAACCCTACCAAGGAGAACTCCTAAGAGAACTAGGCATGTTGAGCCTGATGCAGAGAAATCGAGGGTCCATTAGGAATTCCATGCCTGCTTATAAAAATGACCTGAACTAATACTGTTTGTGTTCTGACTTGGGCTGGGCTTGAGGAATGCTAAGATTCTCTTTCTAATTGTGAAATGGATGATGTGTCCCTGGTTAAAAGAATTTCAAGCATCCTCAGCTGGGGAAAAAGTATTTCAGGAGAGTCGGATGCCCTCCTGAAGTGTCGGGAAGTCCCTAACTAGGAAGGTACATACTCTGCTTATAGGTCTCAGTGACAGGGGCAACCACGTGAATCATAAGTTTTAAAGATATAAAATTTATCAAAGAAGAATTAGGAAGTTATAATAAGGAGAAACAAGGAAAAAAAAACACCTATAATCCCTTTAATAAAGGGATTTTACACTTTTCACCCGATACCAGCTCAGCAAGCCTGGAGAAGTTATTCAACTTCTCCGAACTGCAGTTTCCTTATCTGTAAAATGGTCATGATAGTAATTACCTTGAAGAGTCATTGTGACAATCGAATTTTTTAAATGTATTTAAGGGACATAATACATATGTACTTAATACATAACCCATCATCAAAAAATTCTAATTTCCTTTCTTTTTCCCATTGTCTTTCCAAAACACCATAAACACTGAGTATTTTCTTCTAATCTTTATTTTGTTATTTAAGCTTAATACTATTGCATATATATTTTTGTATCCTGTATTTTATTTAGTACATAATTATTTTATTATAAACATAATTTATAACATATTCTCATGAACGTAAGTTTCATGGCTGTGTAATGCCCCAGCCAGTGGATGTATCATAACTAATTTGCTGCTGGTAATTAATACATTTCACCTATACTTATATAGAGAGAAGAACATTTTGTGAATAAGAACTTTTTTCATTTTGGATAATTTCTTTATGATATATTTTCAGAAGAGAAATCACTGTACCAAAGAGTAAAAACAATTTAAAGCCTTTGATACATATTGCCAAATTCCTTTCCAATATTTCATTTTTATATATAAGCCAGTTTCACAATCAAGGTTTTGTCTGTTATTTCTAAAAATTTGTGGGCTGCTTGAAGACAGAAGTTGTATATATCCTGTATCCCCACCTCCTATTACAGGGTACTTTTAATAAATAGTTATGTAATGAATAAAAATGATCATGTCTATTCACATTCCCATCAGCATGAGAATGCCTGTTTGTTTCATTGCATCCTTATTATAACTGAATATATGGAATATACCGAGACTAGGGGGAGAGGAGGTGGTGGATCCAGAGGACAAATTTCTAAATATTTGTCATGACCTTTCTAGAAACTCCTGGGCTATTTCAAAACTTATAACAGCTGGCAGAACCCAAGTTTCTGACTTCTCTTTCAATATCTGTCCTTCCCAACTTGTATGCACATTGGCAAAAGCACATACTTAGAAACAGTCTTTGACTATTAACAAAAGCAATGAGTTTTCTGCAAAATGTTTGTATCAGTCTGTACTGCTGTGTAACAAACCACCTCAAAACTTAGTAACTTTAAAAAGCAACCGTTTATTAAATTCAGGATGTTTCAAGTCAGTAATGATTAGCCTGGGCTGAGCTGAGCAGCTCATCTGGTCTAGACCATGCTCACTCACATATCTGCAGTTACCTGATCAGCTCCTGGCTTGGCTGGAGGCTGGCTGATGGAGGATGGCTCCTCTCACTCTCCAGCAAGACAGCCCAAGCTTGCTTACCCTGGCATCTGGAAGGGTTCCAAGAAATAGAGAGTGGAAGCCTGCATCGCTTCTTGAGGCCTCAGCTCAGTCCTGGTACACCATCTCTTCCATGGCTTTCTATTGGCCAAACCATGTCACAAGGCCAGGCCAGATTCAAGGGGTGAGGGAATAGACTCCACCTCTTAGACAAAGGAGCTGCAAAGCCACAATGGACAGGAAGTGGGTGCAGGAAAGGATGGAATGAAGAATTTAGCCATTTTGTAATTGGTCATTGTTTCCCTAAGTGGTAGAATAAATCGGTCTGCTGGGTGGATTACTTAATCTTGTCCAATTAGAACTTGAAGATTATTGACCTCCAATAATTTATATAGTGTCCTAGAGATTTTAAATATTTAAAACAGTGTTGTCGGGACTTCCCTGGTGACGCAGTGGTTAAGAGTCTGCCTGTCAGTGCAAGGGACACAGGTTCAAGCCCTGGTCTGGGAGGATCCCACATGTCACGGAGCAACTAAGCCCGTGCGCCACAACTACTGAGCCTGCGCTCTAGAGCCCACAAGCCACAACTACTAAAGCCCACGCACCTAGAGCCCGTGCTCCACAAGAGAAGCCCCCACAATGAGAAGCCCGTGCACCGCAACGAAGACCCGACACAGCCAAAAAAATAATAAAATAAAATAAAATAATTAAATAAATAAATTTATAAAACAGTGTTGCCTTGGCCAATTTTTGTATAATCAGCGCTTTAGGTTTGATGAGCAAGGACCATCAATTTTTAGGTGGAAGATGAGTCTCAATGAAGCTTAGTTGACAGGGCAGCTGGTAGAGCCAACCATCCTCTAAATCTCTCCAGCTCTGTGTCCTTAGCACAGGGGACGTTGCCCATCTCTTGGCTTTCAATAAATAGAAGCCACAATTCCATTCATTTCTAAACTGTGCTGCATTGCACACGTGTTCAGGGTTGGTGGGGGGAGGGGGATAAAATTAGAACAGACGCCGTCGCGAGTTCATTTTCACCTACCCTGGTTCAGTCAGGCTCTGCAACAACATTAACAGCCTGGATTCATGCCGAGAGCTCGCAGCATCCTCCGATGGTCTCAGCTTTGCTCACAATTACTTGGGATCTATGAGATATACTTACAGGAAGCAAAGGGAGACAAATCCCTCACCCCACCCTGCAAACTCTACTTGCCTGAAATTCCCCTAATGGGAAACCAAGCCATTCCCTTCACAGTGGGAAATCGGTTTTAAAGTGTGGACCACTAGGACCTTAATTATTATCATAACAATTATATAATATACTATATAATTATGCATCTATACATAATACATATATTCCTTTATTAGGAGACCAAGCCATTTCTTTCACAGTAAGAAATCTGCTTTAAAATATAAACCACCAGGACTTTAATTATTGTTAATTTATTATAATTATCATTATACTAATTATACAATATATTACAGAATTATGTATCTCTGTATATAATTTATATTCCTGTATGTAATATGTATATATTACAACTAACCCTTGAAAAACATGGAGGTTAGAAGCGCCAACCCCCATGCAGTTGAAGATCCACGCATAACTTCTGACTCCCCCAAAACTTAACTAATAGCCTGCTGTTGGCCAGAAGCCCTACCAATAACATAACAGTCCATTAACACATGTTTTGTGTGTTATATGTACTATATACTGTATTCTTACAATAGAGTAAGCTACAGAAAAGAAAATGGTATTAAGAAAATCATAAGAGAAAATACATTTACAGTGCTGTACTATATTTACTGGCACCGTAAGTTTACATTATCTGTTTACAAGATGATGTAAATATTCATCATCAATATTATCCATTATCAGTATTATATGATACAAAACACTGTTGATGTTATATGTATTACTAACACTAGACATCAAAAATGAAAAGATAATGTGAAAAAGAAACTCACATTTATCTACAAGTATAACGATTCATGCATTGATAACAAAAAGCAGCAGTCTGATTGCTTCATGGTAGTTTAGGGTAATCGATATAACGCTTCACAGGAGCCCAGCCTTACACTAACCAATGCATCGTTATAAAACTTTTATGGCATACAGTATTAGAGTCATAGTCATAGTCCAGTATTGGAAACTTTGTTGCATTTTCTTTTTTTTTTTTTTTTTTTTTTGCGGTACGCGGGCCTCTCACTGCTGTGGCCTCTCCCGCTGCGGACCGGACGCACAGGCCCAGCCGCCACGGCTCACGGGCCCAGCCACTCCGCGGCATACGGGATCTTCCCGGACCGGGACACGAACCCACGTCCCCTGCATCAGCAGGCGGACTCCCAACCACTGCGCCACCAGGGAAGCCCTGTTGCATTTTCTTTAACGACCACTTACTAGTGATATTAGGATGATAACACAGTTTCTCCAGTTGAGAGAGAGAGAGAGGCATACCGTATGGTAATGTAATTCTTTGAAAGCAAAGTTGTAAAACAATGTAATAATTACAAGTAATGTGTTACTACCACATTATTAATTTTATATTAAATAGCACTCACCTTATACTTATGTAAGGACAGGCTAGCATCACATATATTCTATGCATTCATGACACACCATTTTCTTAAATTTTTTGATATTTCTAGGCTATGCAGTTTGCGAGTTTTTTCAAATTGTTTCCAATCTCAAAAAATTTTTCAAAAAAAAAGTCTCAAATCTCAAAAAAAAATCCTCGTATAAGTGGACGCTCACAGTTCAAACCCATGTTGTTCAAGGGTCAACTGTATATAATTGTTATAGAACATTAAGTAGTATACTACATAATTATAAAACATAATTCTTGATAATAATGAATTTTTTAATGGACAAAATATATGAAGCATTGGACATCAGGCAACAAAGAACAGTGCCACCTGAGAGATGGGAAACAAATGAGGTGAGCCCCCCGATTGCCCCAGGACATTGACTTGGCTATGGCAGGGGTTCTGTGCTTGATTGGTGATGTCTGACCTGGGCTCGGGGAGGCCAGCAACAGCCCTCAACCATATATTTCCCAGTCCTGTGTGATTGTTAAAATCTCTGACCTTTCCTACCTTCTTTCAGACCCTGACTTTCAAGACTCCTCATTTTATATTAATACTACTTTATCTTGGACATTGCACACAAAACATTTTACATGCACTGTACCATTTGCTCCTCGTAATTATCCAGTACATCAGCTACACGCTTTCAACTCCAGGTAACAGAAACGCAGATTCAAAATGGCTTAAACAATAAAGGGACTTATTTTCCCAGATGCAAAACATCTGGAAGTAAGGCAGTTTCACAAATGGATAATTCAGTTCCTCGACATCCTCAAGGACCTAGGACCTTCCCATTTTCTCCTCTGTCACCCTTTGCTGGTCATCCTTGGACCTCATGGTCCAAGCTGGCTGCCACATGTCCAGACACTACATGTGAATACACAATGTTCCTCCAAAGGAACACCGTTCCCGAGCCTTTTTCTAGATCCCTGTGGCTGCAAAATACCTGAGCAGCCCCTCAAACCTACATCTGACTCCAGAGCTAGTGCTGGGTCAATATTATCTGTTTACAAGATAATAGGCCTGTGGCCTTTTTTCACTATTCCAAGCAGACTTTCAGATGACCCTGCCTTGGTGAAGGCTACTGATTTGTTGACTTCCTTTCAGCAGGGAATTTAACATAGTAATTACCGGGTTTGACTTCTTCCCTCCCCACACACCCCCCCCACCGTAGAGGAAGTTTAAATTTAGCTTCTACCTGCATTTCTCCTCTGTGACTGTGACTTTGGAGCAAATCTACTCAACACTACATGGAAAACACTAATCGCGTCAGCTAGTTTGGGATTCAAGTAGTTATCTGCTATTGCTGCTGCAGATGCTAGAACATACCTATCGGGCTTGAGGAATACGTACTTTGCTTAGACTGTGACAGGGAGCCCAGCAGGGTGGGGCAGGTCTTCAAGCTGGCTGTCCCTGGCAAAGGAGGAACAGTCATCCTTGTTCAAGCTGGCGATATTCTGATGACAAAGCAGTATTCTTGTGCCCTGCTATAATGTAAAACCAAAAGCAAAAAAATGGATTAAATAAGTAAACGCCTATCATAACCTGTGTCACAGCCAACACTTGGGAGATGATATAAATGATAGAGCTTAGTGGTCAAGAACACAGACTCTGGCACCTCCCTGGCTCTGGTCCTTATTAGTTGTAAGATCTTGGCCAAGTTGATTAACTTCTCCATGCCTCACTTTCCTCATCTGTGAAATGGGACCAACAATAATAATATTATCTATCTGACAGAGCATGTAAAGCACTTAGAACTGTCCGCACAGCGTTAAGTGCTAGACATTATTACATTATGTTATCTCATTGATTTGAAAGTTACTAACACCTCTGTAGGATGGCCGGAATTGGCACACAAGTAGCCACGCCCTAGAGCTGTTACAAGGGTGATAGGAGATGACTGGGGAGCATTCAATCAATGGTTGCAAAAACCAGTCCCCCAGGAGGGGACAGAAGCCACATGAGTAAGTGACCTAGCAGGTCATCCAGGCAAGCTGGCCCTCCTGCCTCACAGCCCTGGACATGGTTTCTTCCCCTCATCACCTCTGTTTTGAGCCCAACGTTCCTCTGCTCACATCCACCAGTGGTTCCCATTACACAGAGGATAAAATGCAGCCTCCAGGCAGTTTACAAATGACCTGGCCGTGGTCACCACTCTCACCTCGTCTCCGGCTGCCCCTCCCCTCACTCCCGCTGGTCCAGGGCCTGTGGCCTTTTTTCTCTTTCTACTGGTCACGTTCATTCCCATCTTAGGACTTTTGCCCTGGCTGTTCCCTCTTTCCACAATCTTTTCATGACTGACTCCCTCATTGTTCAGAACTCACCTCTTTAAAGACTCTTTACCTGTCCACACACCCTTAAGTAACCATTAGTCACTAGTTTAATGGATAGCTTTGTTTTAATTAAGTACAATGTGAATGTACTTAATACCACTGAACTGTATATTTAAAAATGGTTAAGATGATAAATATTATGTTATGTGTACTTTACCACAATTAAAAAAAAATTTTAATACAACTTCCATTTTCTTTGCACCCTCTCTCTCTCTTTTTTTTTTTTTTTTTTTTGGTCTGCGCCATATGTGGGATCTTAGTTCCCCAACCAGGGGTCAAACCCATGCCCCCTGCACTGGGAGTGTAGTCTTAACCACTGGACCGCCAGGGAAGTCCCACACCCCCTCTCTCTTTCCGTCTCACTTGCTGGCTCTGATGAAGCCAGCTGCCATGCTGTGAGCTGCCCTATGGAGAGGTCAGCATGGTAAGAAACTGAGGGCCTCCGTCCAACAGCCTGGGAGGAATTGATTCTTGCCAACCACTACGTGAGTGAGCTTGGAAGTAGGTCCACGCTTATTTAAGAGACACCTTAATTCTAACCTATAAGAGACCCTGAGGCTGTGGACCCAGTTACGCCATATACAGATTCCCGACCACAGAAAGTGAGATCATGAATGCTGGTTGTTTTATGCCACTGAGTTGTATGAATGAAGAATGTTGCCTGCTGTATCAGCAAACAAAGGATGCCATGGCCACCTAGCCATAAGTCACTACCTGCAGCCCCTACAGTAAGCCTGAGGGGACTCAGAACAGGATACTGTCCCTAAAGCGATAAGGTGCATATCAAAAGAATGATTTCAGTGAGCCCAGACTCTTGCATCTTTTTAGACTTAGAAGAGTGCTAAATTCATTAACTTGAGATGTCTGTTTTTTCTTTAATTAACAGTATTCTCTTGATGTTCTGACTACCTGGTTTTTGTTGCAAGAAGTCTTACCTACCCTGGCTCCTCCCTTACCTCCCTCACCTCTTTGCAACAGTCCCTCAGAGCAATCTGAGAGGCTGTCTCCCAGGCTTAAGGCCTCAGTATGTCCGCCGAATAAAACATAACTCAACTTTTAGGTTGTGCTTTTTGTTTTTTCAGTCAACATCAGGAAGCGAGAAGATGGGGGAAATTCCTGAGTTCCTTGGGAGATGAAAATAGGCTGCTTTACCTTCAAGCTGTTACTTATTCAGCAACTATTTTTTTGAGAAAGTATGGCAGAAGGGATAAGTTATTATCTCTTTCTGCCCAATCAGTGTGAGAAAGATCTAATCTTGAGTACTGGGCTTTGCTGCTCACTACCTGTTGGGCAAGTTATGTTAGTCTGTCTAAGCCTCGATGTCTTCATTTGTAAAATGAGGGTTAAAAATAGTTTCAATTGCACAAGCCTGTGTGAGCAATAAAAGAGATAATCATGAATAGTGCTTAGACAGCTAAGGCTCCTCACCTGCAAATGGGATTAAAAACCTCATCCTTAGGGATGAGGTTAGGTCAGGTATCCTTGGTCTAGCACCTGCCACAGTGAAGGGGTTTGCAGTGGATTGAATGGTGGCCTCACAAAATATAGGTCCACCCAGAATGTATGAATATGGCATTATTTGGAAAAGGGGGTTTTGCAAATATAATTAAGTTAAGGATTTCAAGATGAGACCATCCAGGATTAGGGAGGGCCCTAAATCCAATGACAGGTGTCCTTTCAAGAAAAGAGAAGGGGAGAAGATGCACGGAGGAGAAGGCCATGAGAAGACAAAAGCAAAGATTGAAGGTATGCAGCCCCAAGCCAAGGAACGCCTGGAGCCACCAGCAGCTGGAACATACAAAGAGGGATTCTCCCCTAGAAACTTTAGAGGGAAATTTGGCCCTGCCAACACCTTGATTTCTGACTTCTGTCCTCCAAAACCACGAGAGAATACATTTCTGTTGTTTTAAGCCATCAAGTTTGGGGTAATTTGTTACAGCATCCTTAGAAAAATAATAACAGGTTTAATAAATGTACACTATTGCTATAATCCCTTGCCTTTCTTTGCCCCACACGAGTTGGACAACCTTCTCTTGTCTAAGGAGGGCAAACTTCTGTGTGGAGCCCAGGCTGGGACACAAAGACAAAGGTCCATCTGGAATGACCTAGGTCCCTGCTCCTGCCCTGCCTCCGACCCCTCTTGCCACGCGGGGCTCCATCCTCTGTTGCCTTTGTGCCAGGGTCTCTGAGGCTGGCAGTACACCCCAAGCCAAGAGATTCCAAGCCGCGGCATGAAGCAAAGAATTGTCAGCGAGATCCCAGATTGTTTTGTCACATACACTTTGCAATATGACAAGTAGGCGTCCAAAATATGTTCCAGGAGGGGGGAAGCAAGAAATTTTCCAAAAGCCTACTTGGCAGCCTGAGTCACTATGCTGAATCGAGTGCCAGTCTAGTGCTTGGCTGTCCTCCTCCTGCCATGTGATGCTGTGTCACTCAGGACGGGGGGTGCCAACTGAGTGTCACCAGGAAAAGAAAAACCTGCTCTTGGTGGGGTTGGTCTTGACTCTATTGGCTGCTTTGGAATTTTTCTAGATGACATCATAATAATAGTTCTATTCCTATAATCACAAAAATTACAACAATCAGTAGCTATTAGGTGCATCCCTGCGTGAGGCATGGCACTAAGACATTTATGTGCTCTTCCTTCTTTAATCTTCACAATAATTGTATGAGGTGGGAATTATTATTAGCATCTCTCTGTTGCAGAGAAGCAAACTGAGGAAGAAGGACTTTAAACAATTTGCCCAGGATTCCACTTCTAGGAAGTGGTAGAGGTAAGGTTCCGACTCTCATCAGTCTGTCTATAAAGCTAGAAATGTGGGCACTGTGCGGCCACTTTGTTCAGCCACTTTCCATCATATTTTACAGTTTGTTAGAATAAGGAGCAGAGGCCCCTCATTCCCATACAGCGTGATTGCTTGTCTGTGGGGCACCCTCCCTCCGACTGGCTATTACAGATAGGAAGTGAGCCAGTAAGATTGTTAAAATGAGGAAAACATAGGTAGCTTGAACAGAATTATTAAAGTTGGGCAGACTGGGTTTTCTCCCTCTCCCACCTCTTTTCCTAGAGCCTGGCATGGACAGATGCTAAAGAAACAGAAAGCCTTTTGTCATGTAACTCAGGGCTAGGAAGGAGATTAAGATTCTTTTAGCACAATATGGTACAAAGGAAATCTTAGCAATAGGTTAAGATGTGTAGTTGAAAAGGTTTAACTGAGGCAAGATTACTCCAAAGAGGTCTTCCCTTTCCCTTTGTACTCTTAAGGTCTTACTATAGATTGTCCACCCAGCATTCATTCCTCCCTTCTTCCTTCCTAATCAAACTCAGGTTTTGTTCTCTCTCTCCTACATCAGACTAAGGGGGTAGGTGACCTGGCTCCAAGCTCCAAGGATGGGCTTGACTGACCTAAGGGTAATCCTGCTGTCTCTGCCATTGATTGGTTTAGGAACAGTCATTCCCCCAATTCCAGCCAAGGAAACACAAAGAGAAGTCTTTCCAGGGTGAGTGGTGGCTTGGTGGCTTCTGGGGAAAATGTCCTTGCTTCTAGGAAAGAGCCAGGGAAAGAAATGGACCCCTTTTTCCTCTAGATCTTGTCATGTCTGGATATGATGCTCAGAACCAATGCCACCATCTTGTCACCAGTGTGAGAATGAGGACAACTGATCATGGCAGAACAGAGAGCTAGAGAGGAAGGACTTGTAAATGCCATTGTTGAATGAGTGATTCAACCAGCTTTGGATCCGCCCTGCCCCCTGGAATTCCTGATATGTGAGATAATAAATTCCCTATTGTTTAAGCCAGCTTGAGTCAGGGTTTTGTTTCTGCCACCAAGCATCCTAATACAGGATTCAAAGCAGACTCTCCCCTCCTCCGCTGAACTGAATGCCACTGAGGATTATCAACAACCCATTCCAGAGGCTGCACGTAAGAGGATGAACCTGGGACAGGAGGTCATGGAACACAAGAGGAGTCTAGGACGAAGCCTCCATATCCACAGGCAATTTGAATAAGCTAGAGCACCATTGCTGAATTCCCCCCATCCTATTTACTCTGAATGTGTTGGAACATCATGTTTGATTGATTGAATAGTCTCCATAGTTCCATATGGTGCATCCCTGGCCAACAGTTAACCATCCTTTTGCAGGTCATA